ATATATATATACAGGGCTGATTTTTGCTTTCACTGACAGCTCCAATCCTGGCACTAATACTCCATCAGCTGGCTATTCAAAGTGCTGAAGAAGGCGCACTGCCAGCCCTTTAGGTCTCTCACACACAGGCTTTAGTGTCCCCTCAGCCACAGCAGGACAGTTCAGAATATCTGGAGGACGATGTCCTGACCCTTCTGCAGACAGGACGAACATTTCCAGATGCTGACTTTTCTTGTTCAGCTTTCTCCCACCAGAAAGGTTTTGTTTTTGTTGAAGCCAATGTAACACTGTCCTGTCAAGTGTTTCATTACATGCATATATTGTTAAGGCTCAAGAAATGTCCTGCATCATTTATAATAACCCACTCTGACAGTGGAAGTGTGCTCAGTGATCATGTCAGTGTCATATGTGAGTTTGCTGGAGACAGAAAGTGATTTTTGGTTAGGCAGCTGGAAGGCGTGCACCCTTCCATCGGATGATGTCTGTTCTGCTTTGAAGATTTGCTGATTGTTTGAACAACAGTCTGTGGCATGGAGATCAAATGTTGATGAGAACAAAAGGCTGAGAACCAGAGGCCTAACTTCCAGTTGTCACCAGAATTGTTGAAGACAAAAAACTGATTTCCACCGAACAATTTCTCCTTCTTCATCTTTGTTTTCTGTTACTTAGTTTTGTTTTTGTTGACTTTGCTGTGTGACTTCTACCATCATTCTTCCACCTGTTTCTGCTTATCCTCCGCTCTAAACAACATCCAAATGAACCTGCAAGGTGTAACCCGACTTACATGAACTCACTTCAAGTAATGATATGTATTAATACTAGACCAAGTGTCCCCACCTTCTCTTATTGTTGGTGTCTGAAACCAGCAGGACCTGGTTTGCAGAAACTACCTTGTTGAATTTTTGGAACCAGAGTTTGAGCACCTGCTGCCCCACACATAATTATGGTGTTAAATAGATGTACAGATGATTAATGATGTGCAGGATCTTTCTTTTAATCATGAAATAAGTAATTACAGCAGCTAGGTTAAAAACTACATGAATCAAGAAGAGGGAATATCTGAAAATCATTTTTCCAAATGTTAAAGTCTGCTTTCTGTGTGTGTTTATGTGCAGGGATAAGGCTTAAAACTTGAACTGGGACCATTTTGTGTGGATCTGTAGGAGGTCCAGTGCTAAAATATGTCAATGATTTCACCTTCTGCAATGTGCCAAACTTTGTATTTCTGATGTGATGTATGAAACCAACATTTGACCCACAGTTGTGTTTCAGAGGCCCTGTAAAACCTCTGAGACCTGTGAGTTGTGTTTGAAAGCTTTAAGTTGGGTCACAGGTGCCACACAGGACATTTGTTCACACATATCAACTTTATATTTGTAAATTAGTTTTCTTCCAAACTTCATTCTCTGCTTGTTTGTTCCTCAGGAGTGGGGAAGAGCAGTCTCCTCTTACGATTCGCAGACAACACATTTTCAGGTGCGTGGTTCCACCTCGATTCTGACACGAGTTCAGGATTTCCCACAGTCAAGTTCCTGCTCTTTAACTCTTCTTCCTTTTTGTTGTTGGGGTATTTACGTGGCTGTTTACAGGTAGTTATATCACCACGATAGGCGTAGACTTTAAGATCCGGACGGTGGAGATCAACGGGGAGAAGGTGAAGCTACAGATCTGGGATACAGCGGGACAGGAACGCTTTCGCACCATCACCTCCACGTGAGTAGATCCATAGTCGCACTTCCACGCGTGTCGGTTGTTTAAGCTGAAACGTGAAGCGTCTCTGCGCAGCAGTCACATTGGATATTATACGAGGAATAAGTTTGCAGTTGATTAGAGTAAGTGTTTCACTATGAAGCTGGGTGGAATTCCCCACAGATTCTAATTACAGACATGAGAGGGAGGCTCCTGTTCGCATGTTGCAGCTCTACATGAAGGCTGCAGCTTGGTGGCAGTAGCCGCGATGTGCGTGTGTGTGTCACACTGCTGTCCTGTGCCCATATGTCCCTACACTCACTCTGTGGTCAGTGCCACAGACTCATAATCCTGAGGCTGCAGGTTTGAACCCATGTTGCATCAGGTCGGGCATCCAGCGTAAAACAATTACCAAGTCTTGGTTTGGTGACTAGGGCTGGGTAAAAAATTCGATTTTATCGATCTTGGATCGATTTCATTTAAATTTGGGAAAATCGATTCACAGGGCATGAGATCAATTCTTCCCCATGGCGTCTTGTATGCGCGTTTGAGGTGTGTTTCTATATTTTGTCACTCCTGGCTTGCCCTATATTTACATCCGGTTAAGGTTCAGTGCTAACATTAGCTTTTGATAACAGGTTGTCTGGATCAAAACAAAAGAAACTAAGGAATCTTTATTGTTACCAACCGACTCTCCACAGAACTTAAAGATAACAGAGACCATGGGGACTTTTGTTTGCAAAGATTTGTGCTCCGACGTGGGAGCGAAAACGAAGCGGGGTTTGACGAGCGGCTCGTTAGGAGCTCAAACCAAACTACAGTATGTAAACATCTGACTGAACTGTTCTCCATCAGCATGTTTAAACGTGTTAAAGACGACATTCTAACAAAATCATTTAGTTTTGTTATCAATATTATTATTTTTAAACTTTAAGGAACGTCTTAATGTAATCCACAGTGATGAAGTTTTGTAGTTGTTTTAATAAGTTATATGTATTAAAATAAGTTTTATTGAACATAACAGAAGTTAACAGAAACGTTACAAATGTACAGTTTTAAGATAAGATAAGATAAACCTTTATTGTCATTGTACAGAGCACAATGAAATTACAGTTCAGAACACCCATTCACAATTTTTCATACACTCAAAAGGAGTGGGCAGAAATATATTTATATTAGCCCACCTCCTCTCCTGCAACCTTATTCCCATCACTTCTTATTTATCAAAATAATTGTTAATTACTTTAAAATGAATGCATCCAACAACACTGTCACCTGCAATTCCTTTTTACTTTAAAACTTTTTATACTTGAGACAGTTTTCTTTCAAGATTAAACAGTTTCATTTAAAAGTTTGTCCTTTAAAACCTGTTGTTTATGTTGAAGAGAAAAAAATGGGGATATTAAATACAATATCAATATCAATAAACTTTTTCATTGAATGGAATCGATTCGTGATAATCGATTCTGAACGTAATGAATCTAAATTGAATCGATTTAGAGAATTGGTCATGACACCAGCCCTAGAGTGGTGACCCCTGCAGAGAGGAGCTGCCAAATAGAAAAACATTATGAACTTGGTGAATGTTTCTGCTCATAATACTCACAAAACTGCTCATTTTCAAAATGTACTTTTCTTTTGCCCTGACCGTAGTGCTGCACAGTGCCAATAAATGAAACCTAACTGTAGTTTACAGTTGGCAGCCATAATGATTAATGACAAATTTCAAACATGGTTCAAAAACAGATAGAATAAGACTAAAACATTATTTTTTAGGCCTTGTGGTACTGTGACTACAAGTTTAGAAAAAGCTGAGCCAAAATAACATTTGTATGAGAATCTTTGGGTTGTCCATACGACACTTTGAACTCCAGACTTCCTGCTTCAATAAGTATCAGCTGCAGTGTGTTCACAGTCAGCAGATGGATTTCCAGTGGTGTTTGTTTACTTTTTGTCTGATTAAATGTAAATGCTTTCTTTGATTTTTAGTTTTAACGGTCACCTTCTACTTTAGAGGTAAAAACAAAACATTCACTAACGTTGTGTTAAGCTGCAGTGTTTGCTGAAAGCTTTCTTTTTTTAACGTTTATTCGAAAAATTATCCTCTCAAAATGCAATTACAACAAAATACAGAACAAAAGAACGAATAGCGACRCTACATGTAACGCATTCAAAAACAATTTTCCAGCCAAACAAAATAAATATGTGTACGCTTTCCACAACGTTGTCACAGTAAAAATAAAATAAAATGTATTGGTATACCAAATGAAGACAGCTAATATTCATAACCAACCAAAGTGGTCATTGACAGGAGACCACACATCTGTGAACAGATTCAGTTTCAAATTAAGTTTTGCAGTATTTTTTTCTATTTTATAGACATTTTTTAAACCATTTTGCCATTGCAAAAGTGTGGAAGGCAGTGCCTGAAGCCAAGAGCATGTTATCATTTTCATCACCACCATAAAACAGATTTGGAGTGTCTTAACTTTATTTTTTCCCAGTCCACCCACTGGCATCAAACCCAAAATATTTAGGATCAAATGGCAAATTAAATTTGACCATGGTTTGAGTTTGCTGAAAGTTTTTTTCTTCAGTCTGTCACCCAGCAGTCTCACTCATCTGAAATATTGGCGGCTTTGATTCAGAATCCTCTGAGTTCAAGGCATCTATAAATAGATTTTGCTTTCCAGCCCTCGATGATACAGTAGCTGTAAAGTTGTTTGTAAAGTTTGTTTAGTTTCTGCTGTTGTTGATCTGTTGTATGTTGCTCTCAGTGCCAGCAGTTTTATTTCTTTTAATGAAAAAAATAGAAAATATACTTTATTGATCCATGAGAGAGAGCCAGTATGCATTATTACTTAACTATATTATTATTAAAATGACTTACTAAAAGAGCACAACTTATTACCAGTGCAGTTACATGGACAGGTGTTCACAAACCAAACAGCACTCTGTTATGACTAACATTTCTCTGCAAATAAATTAGCATATTTATTTTGACTGAAACAGATAGAGGTTGAACATAAAAGCTGTGAGCCTGGCTTAAGCCTGGTTCCTACTGCAAAAACTAAAGAGCATGTTTGAGTCATTGTAGCAGCAATGATCATAAATCGAGATGTTCCTGGAACAATAAAGTCCCGGGCAGTTTTGTTACCTCAGCCCCTGAGGAGTATGACTGTCGCAGTAAAACAGTGTCTCCAGTTGTTCTGCAGGAGTCCCTCCACCAAACAGGCTGATTGTTCTCTGGGCTGAAGTGGAGTGGTGTGGTGCCTTATTAGGTCGTTTATTTTTTATGTGATAAGACGGATCATGGACCCTGACCTGCTCAGACCACTCGGGCAGAATAACCTGAGGTGTGGGTGGGGGGGTTTCATGTATGAGGTGTGTGGCAGCTTTCAGCCTGGAGGCCACTGAAATCATAACATAAAATACATTTCCTAGTTTATTCTCATTTTTATTTCCTAAAGTCACATTATGTTCTTTTTTCTAGGATGCTAGAGGAACAACTATTGTAAATATTACAACTAAAC